TGAGGACTTGTTTGCATAGTCCTGGCTCTCTGACAACAAGGCATCGTGGCAGATAAACTGACAGTCCATAGTAGCTCCCAGGAGACCAGAGCACACAGCCTTCCCAGCCCCGAGACAGGGACGGGAGCTGTGGCCTGTGTGCACACACAGCAGGACTGTGCCACAGGCGTTCAAAGCCTCCTGCATCAGTGGCCCTGCTGCCAATACGTCCTGAGCAGGGAGGGGGCTCTGCCTCTGTTGTACAAGGACCCCGGAAGAGGACACTGCAGGATGAGGCTTCTGTGAATTCTGCTTCTCAGGAACAGGTGGTGAGGACAGAGGTGAGTGTCATGTGGCCTCACTCTGGGGTTCAGGGTGAGCACTCCCCGGGGCATGTGTGCACACAGGTACTAGCTCAACATCACGTCCTATCTATCTATTTTCACCCTGAGTAACACCACACTGATTTCACATATGAAACTTATGAGCTGGTTTCTTAAGGCAATCCAGAAAAGAGATCTTTTTGAATGTGAGCTTTAGAGCCAGTGGTATGGTATAGTGAGTAAAGCTTCTGCCTGTGGTGTAGGCATCCCTATGGGCACAAGTTCAAATCCTGGCTGCTCCGTTTCTGACCCAGTCCCCTGCTTACTGGCCTGAGAAAAGCATCACAAGATGGCCCAAGCATCTGGACCCCTGAAGCCCATGTGGGAGACGAGGAGGAAGCTCCCGGCTCCTAGCTTTGCCTGGCTCAGCACCAGCCTTCATAGTCATCCCAGGAGTGAGGCAGCAGGTAGAACCTCTCTGTCTCTTGCTCTTTCTGCGACTTTCAAATAAACCTTTAAAAACAAAGACACCGAAATACATATTTTCCCATTTTCCTTCAGAATGCACAACACAGATGTAATTTAAAAATCACACACACACACACACACACACACACCTGCCCCCAAGTTTCTCCGGGGGCAAGCCCTAGATGCAGATGTTCTGCTCAGTTTTTTCCCTTGAAGGAACCACACTGGGATGGCAAACTGAAATCGTGGCCCCGCGTGAGCCACTGGTCACACTGAGGTTACTTGCATGTCCTGTGAAATTTAGCAGTGAACTGCATCTCGGACTGCCAACCCGTGGGCCCTCACCACAAGCATCCACACTGGATGAGGGCTCCCAAAGCTGCAAGCCCCCTCTTTGGCAACCAAATTTCCACAACTGCTGAAGCCCTCATTTCCCCCCAATACAGTGTGAATATTTTGCTGTTGTTGTGTTATTAGGAATAAAGAAAACAAAAACTTTTCTCAAAAATTACATTGCAGGGTTTGCCTTAAAATTCAATGATAAGTAACCAACACTTGTAGAAGAAAGGGAAACTACAGATGGGTGTGCTCAGCGACCGATGTGCTGCACACCAGCTGGGGACGACAGTCTGTGTTGGCGCACACCAGCTGGGGACGACAGTCTGTGTTGGCACACACCAGCTGGGGACAACGGTCTGCGGTCTGTTCCTGTGCTTTTGGCTCCCTGGCACACTTATCCAATACAGAAAATGACAGACCAATAGCAAGACAATCCTCACTGTGATGGGACACATATCAGGTGGTGAAAACTGGAAGTGGATTTGATGCAGTCATTGTTACGGATTACTGGGGACATGTCATGACTTCCTGGCACACTTGTAAGCAATCTGCTTATTTTTTAAAATAGGGGAAAAAACATTAGCTGCACATTCACTGATGGAAGATGGGACAACCGATCAAAGATGTGTTTTTATGGGGAGGGGGGTCCGTGGGAAACCATCATAGTTCTCTCCACTGAGAACAACTCTGCAAATATGTCTGTCCCCCAGCAACGCCCTAGCAAGCCCCATAAATATTTGCTGTGACATGACGACCATGCCCGGAGGACCAGATGTTCACTACGGAATACAGGAGCCAAATGAACAGAGCCCAGAGAAGGAACCTGGACAAGGCTAACTCTGGCAACCAAAATCCCATCTCAACGTGCACCAGTGAGTGCAGCCTAAAGGAGCTTCGCTTGTTTTTTGCCCTGAGCGCTTCTGTTCTCTTCCAAAGGAACCAGCAGCAACATAGGGACATCCAGAGGCCGTAGCAGTCCTACCAGGCACATCCTAAGTGCCCTTCCCCGGGAGCCAGCCTCACTGCGGAGCTGGGAGACCACTGAGCATCGTGGCGATTATCAGAACGAAACACAGTGCGTCAGTTGTCTGTGACCTGTCCTTTAACTGCTCCCCAGCACCATCTGGGAACACCCGTGGTGTCACTTCTCATCCCATGATATCCAAATAGAGGTTTAGGAGGGACCCTGAGGAACTAGCCCTTCGAAAGAAAGAGAGAGAGAGAGAGAGAGAGAGAGAGAGAGAGAGAGAGAGAGAGAGAAAGAAAGAAAGAAAGAAAGAAAGAAAGAAAGAAAGAAAGAAAGAAACAGAAAGAAAGAGAGAAAGAAAGGAAGAGAGAGAAAGAAAGAAAGAGAGAAAAAGGGAGAAAGGAAGGAAGGGAGAAAGATGAAATGGGGATGAAAGCAATGAAATGTTGCGGGAGCTGAGCAACTGTGACAACCCGAGTTCATGTTTCTGCTATGCTTACTCTAAGTACTATCCTAGATACTTAGTGTCCCCATTTATGAATGAGACAACAAAGCCATAGCAAGGTTAAGGAACTTGCCCAAGGTCACACAGCAGGAAAGCAGCAGGGGAGCATTTGATCCCAGATTCCCCCTCACTATACCAACCACAGGGCCCGGGCAGAAAGCCAGCCACCCGCTCAAACCCCCATCACATCCCACACGTGGGGTCTGCACTGGAGACAGGGCTGGGAACCCCACAGAGGAAGGAAGAGGCAGAGCATCAAGAGCCATCCCTGTGTGTGAGAGCGTGGCGTCAACGTAAGGACCCTCCGCTTAGTCCAGGGTTATAGCGGTCATTCTGGAGGAAAAGCAATGTATGTGACGAATCTGGAAATGTATCGGAAAGCCAAACAGGGAGCAGGCATAGGAGTGCGGGAGAGGGGCGGTAAAACTGCATTGGCCCAAAAGTTCAAGTCAAGAAACAATGTAGTTCTCCCAGGATACAGCTAAGGTAGCGGTCCCCTGAGTCACCAAGAGAGGGCGCTCGCAGCGATACCAAGGGAAGATGGCAGAAAAGTGGCTGGATAACATTGCCCAGGGCCTTGTGACCTGAGGAACCCTGGATTTATCTGGAGTGTGGGCTTATCTGAAAGTCTGCATTGAACAACTGGAGAACGTTACACTAAGGAGAAAAATGCTCAGACCTCTATCCCAGCTCCCTGGTCATTAAGAAGTAGCTAGACTGGAGTGGGTTAAAAATTGAAGCAGGACCCAGCGCGATAGCCTAGCGGTTAAAGTCCTCGCCTTGCATGCCTGGGATCCCATATGGGTGCCTGTTCTAATCCTGGCAGCCCTGCTTCCCATCCAGCTCCCTGCTTGTGGTTTGGGAAAGCAGTCAAGGACAGACCAAAGTCTTGGGACCCTGTACCCGTGTGGGAAGATGCTGTACCCAGAAGATGCTCCTGGCTCCTGGCTTTGGATTGGCTCAGCTCCAGCTATTGTGGTCACTTGGGGAGTGAAACATTGGACAGAAGATCTTCCTCTCTGTCTCTCCTCCTCTCTGTATATCCGTCTTTCCAACAAAAATAAATAAATCTTTTTTTTTAAAAAAAAAAAATGGAAGTAGGAGGGCCTGGCATGGTGGCTTAGGGATCCCATATGGGCACTGGTTCCCATAGGGGCACTGGTTCATGTCCCAGCTGCTCCACTTCCCATCCAGCTTCCTGCTCGTGACCAGGAAAAGCAGTCAAGGATGGGGAGGACGGCCCAAGCCTTGACACCCTGCACCCACGTGGGAGATCCGGAAGAAGCTCCTAGCTTCAGAGAGGCTCAGACTTGGCCATTGTGGCCACTTGGGGAATGAACCCTATACAAAATAACTCTAAAACAGAAGAAAATGGAAGCAGGGGACTAATTAGGAAGTCAAAAGTAAAATAAGAACCGTAGAAATTGCTCAGCAGACCTGGGACCACCCGCGGCAGGTGTACCAGCCCTTCTGGCCCGTTGAGGGCTACGCACTCACTGGGTCTTTCAGAAGCCCGGAATGGCATCTTCCCTTTGTCCCCACGTCCCTTGCCTCCCACCTGCTTCTCAAAATTCCCAAGTTAATCGCCTGGGGAGCACTTCCCTTCACTTCGTAGACTCAGCTTATATTCCCGCCCAGGAGGGTTAGGCCACACCTGGCATGTATAAGCCTGGAAGTATTTCTGCAGGATTACAGTTCCCTGGCAATGCACATTCTTAGCCTGATTAGCTGCAGCTTTCCCGGCTGTGGCCAAAGGCCTTCAAGAAGGGGCTTTCTTTTCTTTCATTTTGGACAAAGCTCTTGGTATGCACTACTGCTGGACTTTCTCCCTGTGCTTCTGATGCCTTGTCAAAATATATATATATATATATATATATTATTTCTTTAAATTCAAACTTCCTCAACCGTGTCTCCTACAGAACAAACCGATGAGCTGCAAGTGGGTGATGTTCGGGCCGCCAGCACCTTGAATTCTTCCAGCATTGATTCTGGTACGTTCAATAAGCACACAGCAGCTTCCGCCTTCCCCCTAGCGTGCCTGTTCTGTTCCACCAGGACGGCGGATGCTTTGGGAGCTGAAAATGCTGCTCAGGTCTGGGCCTTTGCGATTTCCATCCTAGGGACATTTTCCACAAAGAACCCACCTGGGCCCTTTTGCCACGTCTAGCCTTTTCAACACTAGCAGGTGGTCACTTCCTGAAACTATTTCCTAGATTAATCCTTTCATAGTCTACCCCCGTTCGGTCCACCGGTCCAGGACGTTAGCCCCAGTGTCCGGACCCCAAATAACCAAGTGCGAGCTGCTCGGCGCCTCCCCCTACACTCTGTCCAGCCTCCTGCCCACCGCCCGACCCAAGCTGTGAAATGTCCGGGTTTAGGATAGGAGGCAGCGTCCTCAAAGCTGCGAAGCGGGATTTACCTTCACGAAGAGGGTGATGTCGTGCTCCTGGCCCGGGTGCCCCTGCTCCAAGGCCTCGCCGTCCTCCCCACGGCCGTTCACTGGCGCTGGGCCCTCGTCGCGCTCGCCGCCGCCCTCCGCCAAGTGATTGCTCAACTCCGTCTGCTGCACGACCTGCGTGGACGGCGCCGCCTCTCCATCGGGGCTGCCGTTCAGGGTCCCTTCCTGGTCCCCGACGGCGGCGTCGGCGTTCTGCCCCTCCGGGCCCGGCTCCTGTCCCTCCACCTGCTGCTCCGTCCCTCCCTCGGGTCTGTCCTGGTCACCATCCTCGCGAGCTTCTGCCCCCTCTGGCTGCCCGGGACCCGCCTCTGCCTTCTCCACCGCGTCCTTCTCCACCGCCTCCGCCTCTGCGCCCGCCACACATTCCCCTGGGCTGTGGCCCTCACTCTCCACCCCTGCGACTTCAGTCGCCTCGGCCTGGGATTGGGGCCTGCAACCCCCCAGGTCCTGTGGCTCACCCTCGGGCCCTTGCGCGCCTGCCGCCGACCCCTCTGCGTCCATGCTGTCTCCCGGGTCTACACTGTCCCCCGGCGCCCCGGGGACGCTGTCTCCCGCCTCCGGCTCCGGCTCGGCCTCCTCCTCCGGCTCGGCCTCCTCCTGCGCCTCTGGGGTCGCAGGGTCCACCACCTGCTGCTCAGCCCCCTCGGCAGCCTCGCTCTGCACTGCGCTCCCCGGACTCGCCTCCTCCACCTGCTCGGTGTCGTTCGCCTCCTCCCCTAGCTGGGGCCCCTCGGTACCCTCCTGCGCCCGCTCCTCGACCTCCCCCTCGCCTTGCGCCCCCTTCGTGTCTGGCGTCTCAACCTCCGATTCCGTGCCCGCTCCCGGCACCTGCTCGTCCGTGCCCACTACCTGCTCTTGCGCGCCCACTGCGTCTGGCCCCCCGCCTTCTTCCTCCGTCGCCGCGGCTGTCGCGGCTGCACCCGCCCCCTCGCCCCTCGGCGTCTCCGCTTCGCCCTCGTTTGCCTCCCGGCCGGCGGGCGCCACTTCTCCCGGTCTCTCTTCCGTAAGTGCTGAGTCCTCGGGCTGCCCCTGAGGACCCGGAGCGCCTCCCTCCGCCACCGCGGCCTCGGCCATGGTCGCGGATCCCTGCCCTTTACCGGAGACCCCTCCTAGACGCTGTCGAGGGGGCTGGTGGAGCTTGGCGAAGGACCCGGAGCCAAGGTCCAGTGGTTCCGCTCCGGGCCTCGGACGCTAAAGTTTAGCCCAGTAGATGCACCGTATGCGCGGGGCCAAGTCCGCGGAACCCCTGGACGCCGCGCACCTTCACCAGCTTCAGTTTTCTGCGCGCTTAGTTCACCCACACTGCTTATCGCTGGAGCCAGTCTCGACGCGCCAGCCGCAGAGGTGGCGCGCACGGCTCGAGAAGCTTGCTTGGCTCCTCACCCTTCGTAGTGCTCCAGACCGTGTCGCTCTGGGCTTGAGAAGTCCCTGGTGCCAATTCCATCCTGAGGCGATGTAGGCGGGGTTTGCCTTTCCTCCTCCTATCTATGTTTAGTCGTCGGGAGTGTAGCCAATGACTGCCCAGCTTGTGCCCTTGGGGATTTTAAGGGAAAGATCTTGGCTTTCCTTCAAGTTCCAGAACCATTTAAACCACCAGAACCACCACCGCCGCCCCCCAAACACACACCCAGTGTGCAAACACCCACGTCCCAGCTTACCCCGGAGGCGAAGCTTCAGCCTTCCCCAGGACCTAACAGTAGATGCCCCAGTTGCATCTGGACCTCCACAAGCAAGGACAGAATCCTGGGGGGAAAGGAACTCGGAGAGTCACCTCGGGGAGTTTCTGACAATGTCGTCCTCAGAGAGCCTGAACACAGACGCCAAAAGAACCAGTTGAGCGGCTCTGCAGGCAGACAGCCTGTGTTGAGCCCAAATGGGCCTGCCTCTCCAGGCATGACCAAGTAGCAGCTGTCCTGCCCTGGAGCGGGTGGTGGTGAAGATCAGCTCCCAAGCGGTTGAAGCCTGCCCCTGTGTTTCTCTTGTGCATCCTCCCCGAGCCTCTAGTGCTGTGGTGCTAAGGGCTTGGAGGGCTCCCCAGCTGAGAAGAAAGTCCCAGCTGTGAAAAAGAAGGAGGCTATGGAATTGAGTGAATTAGCAATCAATCCGGATGGCAGAGCTGAGCCATTTCCCTTGCAGAAGATGAAGCGATGGTGGAAAGGATGAGAAGGCTTTCTGGAAGCTGTAAGGATGGACTCGTTACCCACCAAGACACAGTCGATTTGGGATTGATTTGTGTCAGGCTCCTGTTGGCTCCATACTGTTCCGGTGTCCACAGGTGTGCACAGAGGCTTCTGCTGCTGTTGACAGAGCAGAGGGTGTCTCGGCTTGACCTCACATGTTGAACCATTGCTGGGGGTCTCCTTTGAACCCCCCATTGCCTGTCACTGATGGGATGATAGGTGCCATGATTTGAACACGCGTGTTGGAGACCTAGACCCAAATTGTGTGTTGGTGGTACTCGGAGGAAGACATTTTTTGGGTACTTGGGGACTCCAATGGTGGCTTTTTGAGAAGCCAGGTGGGTGCACCTGCTGTCTTCCCATGGGGCATGTATCCTGTGCTATGATGCTGCCTTCCCATGGGATCCTCTACATTCTTATGATGTGGCAAGAAGGCTTCTGTTAGATCCAGCACCTTGGTCCTGTGCGTTCTAGCCTCCAGGGAGAAATCGACTTCTCCCGCCTATAAATCACCCAGTCTGGGCATTCTGCTATAGGAGCGTGAAACCAAGGAAGACGACAGGGCAACAGTGGCCCATCTGCCTCCCAGATGTGCCCTACCTGGGAAGGAAGACTCAGGAGCCGTTGCCTCAAAGCAACACCTACACAATGCACAGGTGAACTAGTGGGACATGTCCAAACAGCCAGCTCAGCAGTGGCTCCAGGCACCCAGAGAGGAAGTCCAGTGACATCGCCTGGGGCAGGCAGGCAGTACCACCTTCACTCTCAAGGAAGGCTGAAGCCAGCACACGTAGCCCTAGCAGCCACCACAGTCCAAGCTCCCAGTGCTTAAGCGAGGCTCACGAAATCACGTGTGGTCTCAGGAAGTTGGCTGCATGCCTGTTCTGTGTGTTTGGTAACATGTCACACCACCGTGCCATCAGAGGTGGGAAGGCTTCAGCAGCACCACAGATGGGAAGTGACACCGAGAAAACCATGGAGAGTTCTAGAGCCCTTCCCTTCCTTCCAACTGAGTCACCAGCAGCTGAGTTTGGGGCAGACTGCTGTTGCTTCTGTGTGAACTTCCAAAGCAGCTCACAGCGACCAGCACAAGTGCATGTAAAGGATTGTAAACCCAGGAAGCATTAAACACTGTAAGGCTGTGGGGCTTTATTCACATTTGGGAAAACATAAGTTACTGGCATCACTTTGTTCTCAGCACCAAGCCCATAGTCCCCATTGCTCTGCTCTCATAAGGAGCCAAATAAAGAGCACATATAGTATGTGAGGAGTAATATGCCATATACTTTAACTCAAGAACATTGGGCAGAAATGCCTTGGCTTTGTGGAAGGGCTAGCCCTTCTAGAATCAACTTTTTCATTGAGCCAAGAAGGGCTTGCGGACTTGGTGTTGGATAAGACTGGTTGACGGGCGGTCCTGGGTAGTGTCCTCATAGAACAATGGGAACCAGGTGTGTTCTGTCCTGTCACCTGATCCCATACATCACCCAAAGGTGCTTTATCTTCCTGTGCATTTAAAAAATTTAGAATCATTTAATTTTGCAAAATTCATTTAGCTTTTGTGATAAACTTTTTTCAAAAGTAAATGCAGACCCAATGCTGAAAATACGAAAGAGGATACTAACACAGCTCTTAATATGTTTTCCATAGCCCCATAACTCATATTAAACATTTTCTTCCTTTGGAGATAAATTGTCCTGGGCACTGTATCTATGGCAACAGAGTACTGACGAGGTCTCTACCCTCTCTACACTGAGTGAGTAGAGTGAATGTTAATCACCACGGAAGCCAGGTCACTGTGGGGAGTACTAAGCTTTCTACAGACACCCACTGCCAGTCCGTGTGCCCAGACACGCGTACTTACCACCCTGAGTCTCCTTACCATGTCCAACCTGCCAGTAAACCCCATTATCTCCACTTTCCCAAACACCCTAGAAGCCAACCTATGCCCTTCTTGTCCCTTGCCACCACGCTGATCCCAGCCACTATGACGTCCTGTTGAGGGATTATTGCTGTCACCTCTTAATCTGGTTCCTGCTTCTCTCTGCAGTCTCCACTCCACCCCACAGCCATGGAGCCTCCACTGGCCTCCCAAGTCTGACTATGCCAGTTTTATGCTCGACTTCTTTCAGAATTCCTGTCTTACACCATGAAAATGTCACCAAGTCCTTCTCTAAGATAGACGGGGTCCTAAAAATTAAGCAGTGTCTTTCTGGTCCTGTCTTCTACTACCATAGTTCACATAATCTGAGGTTTTAAATCTCTCAGTTTCAGCTATCACAATCAACTACAGCTGAAGATATTCAAGGACTAATTCCTAAGATAAGCAGTCTCTTTCAATGCCCGCCTTTCAGAATCACACGAGCAAATCTTGTGCCATCTCACTCCAGCCTGTCCAGAATGTGAATCATCCCTTTGTCTGGCACATCCACACTGTCCACTCGGGGCTGTCTCTTACACATTGACTGCCCTGGCCATCACAGTACTTGTATTCAGACAGCCCTGCTTTCACTAAGTACCGGCCCCAAGAGGCAAGAGTGAGGCCACCTATGATGGTCCAGCAGCATCTGGACTGTTAATTACTGTTAGCAGTAACCATTCTTTTGTTTTTAAAGATTTATTTATTTATTTAAGATTTATTTTATTTTTATTGGAAAGGTGGATATACAGAGAGGAGAGACAGAGAGGAAGATCTTCCGTCCGATGATTCACTCCCCAAGCAGCTGTGAAGGCTAGAGCTGAGCCAATCCAAAGCCAAGAGCCTCTTCCAGGTCTCCCACACGGGTGTAGGGTCCCAAAGCTTTGGGCCGTCCTCGACTGCTTTCCCAGGCCACAAGCAGGGAGCTGGATGGGAAGCGGGGCTGCTGGGATTAGAACTGGCACCCGGGCCCAGCGCGGTGGCGCAAGTGGTTAAAGGTCCTCGCCTTGCACGCCCGGGATCCCATATGGGCGCCGGTTCTAATCCCGGCAGCCCCGCTTCCCTTCCAGCTCCCTGCCTGTGGCCCAGGAAAGCAGTCGAGGACAGCCCAAGGCTTTGGGACCCTGCACCCGCGTGGGAGACCCGGAAGAGGCTCCTGGCTTTGGATCGGCATAGTATCGGCCCGTTGCGCTCACTTGGGGAGTGAATCATTGGACGGATGATCTTCCTCTCTGTCTCTCCTCTCTGTATATCCGCCTTTCCAATGAAAAAATAATAATAAAAAAAAGAACTGGCACCCATATGGGATCCCAGGTGTGCAAGGCGAGGACCTTAACCTCTATGCCATTGTGCTGGGCCTGATTTATTTTGTTTTTATTGGAAAGTCAGATATACAGAAAGAAGGAGAGGCAGAGAGGAAGATCTTCCATCTGTTGATTCACTCCCCAAACGGCCACAATAGCTGGAGATGCACCAATCTGAAGCCAGGAGCCTTGAACTTCTTCTGGGTCTCCTAAGTGGGTGCAGGATCCCAAGGCTTTGGGCCGTCTTTGACTGCTTTCCCAAACCACAGGCAGGGAGCTGGATAGGGAAGCAGGGCTGCCGGGATTAGAACCGGCACCCATATGGGATCCCGGGTGTGCAAGGCAAGAACTTTAGCCACTAGGGTACTGTGCCGGTCCCAGCAGTAATTCTTCTATGATCTCAATAATGGTTGCAATTCTCATTGTGCCTAATTTATAAATTATGAATGTAGACTTTGTTACAGAAGTGTATACACAGAAGATAAAATCTATGTAGAGCTTGGTACCATCGGCAGGTTCAGGAATCTACTGGAGGTATTGGTCTCCTTCAAATGATGGGGAACAGCTACACACGTCCCTGACTCCTCACACATCAGCATCCGTGCTGGTCCTGTCCCTCCCTGGGCATCCTATGCCTGAAATGTCCATTGCATCCTACTGACTTGCTTCCTT